ATTTCCTTTCTACGAATAATAATATGAATATCCTCCTCATGATTTTAGTTTTCTATGCAGCCTCCAATCTAGACTGCTGACTTTTGAAAAGGACATAATTAATTTCATTTTGTTCATGAAGTCAAGGTATGTTGAAACTATGGACATTCAATTCTAGAAAGTTAATTATCAATTAAACTATCTCTTAATTCAATAGTTTAATTCACTTGTGCATTGTTTTTTAGATGTCAATGGTCTGGTTGTTCAGGTTCTGTACTACTTTACTGTTTGCCCCCCACTTATTTGTTTTGTAGTTACAAGATTTAAAACCCTTTGGATTCAAAAACACTGTTTCCGTACGTACGTAACGTGCCCAAGAACATCGTCAATCATCTAAAACTCAATGGATCACTCAAAATCAAAAACACCAAAAGAAAACCAGAAGAGGAGACAACACAGAGGAAATTTCTTTAGAGCGAGAAAACAGACAATTCAGAGATGAGTGGTATGACCTCTTAGGATGATTATAGACGTTGTTTTGGTGTATGGTGTTGGCTAATCGATGGGTCATGATCAATGGTGTACATTTAGACACGTGGCACAATCGTAGTGTAACCCAACACATTTCTACTAATAAATGAAAATATTAACTGCTTTCCTTATTTTCATTCTATATAAAAAGACAATAATTTATTAGGAATGATTACAACTGTTTTAGTATTTTATAGGTAGATTTTATAAATAAATGAGTTTGGAGAGGTGTAATGAGCTTAAACGACTGAATAAAACAAATGCTAATTAACTATATCACCTTGAAGAACAAAAGGTTGACAAACCAAAAGTCAAAAGTATTATTTATAAAATAATTGAGGTCTAACTGTTACTGTTAGCAAGCGAAGGTTGTCCAAGGTGCTGTACATAGTTAAGATCCCGAATTTTGATTTTAATATTCTATTCTTTTTCCTCTTTTTTAAAAAAGATTTTTAGCCTATAGTCCATAATTTGCTTGAACTACATTAAACTACTGGCTACTACCTTGTTATCTTCTTATGTCCAAAATAGATTCCATGGTTTTCCCATACTGGTTGAATAAAGTCGTAAACAAGTTTTTGATGTCTATTTTCTGTCATTCATGAGTGAATCTACCTAAACAAGTTTTTGATTCCATTGAGCTGTATCACCGGCGTTTACTATGTCACATGACTATGTCTTTGAGTACGTTGCCAAAAGAAAGTCATGCAAGAAACGTTTTCTATTATTTCCAATCTCAAGATAACTCTTGACATCGAAAATGAAAAGTCTAATGCAAAATAATTATACAATTCTTTTATATGATGAATATGAAGGTTTTGCGGCGAAGAAACATTTTAATAAATAAAATGTCTCTATTGTTCACATTAGAGATATACTAGACTTTGAACAATTCAAAAAGATAATACCATTTTAATCCTTCAATTCTAAGAGCCTTATTGTGACCATTCATTTATATATAGAAGATAAATGTAGGGTGATTCATGTGGTAAGAGATGGCGACATTGGAAAGTATGCTTTTTGAAGCAGCAGCTGCAGGAAATGTGAATTCTTTGCAGAAGCTGCTTCAAGAAGATCCACTAATCCTCGATAGAGTTGTAGTTAGTTGTTTCCATGAGACTCCTGTGCACATAGCAGCACTATTAGGCCATATTGGTTTCGTGAGGGAAATCTTAAGGCGAAAACCTGAATTTGCACGAGAGTTGAACTTGCACCTATCTTCGCCTCTCCATTTGGCATCGGCGAAAGGTTATGCTGAAGTAGCCAGAGCGTTGATATCTGTGAATGCTCAAATGTGCCTAGTTTGCGATAAAAATGGGTTTACACCTCTCCATCTAGCGTCCATCAAAGGTCGGATTGATGTCATGAAAGAATTGCTTCAAGCAAAACCAGATGCAGCTCGAGTGGTCCTAGATCGAGGGCAGACCATTTTGCATTTGTGTGTGAAGCACTACCAGCTTGAGTCCTTAAAGCTCCTAATGGAGACCATAGGAGATCAAGAGTTCACCAATTCTAAAGATAGTGATGGAAACAGTGCCTTGCACTGGGCAGTGGCTTATAAGCAAGTTGAGGTATGCCCTAACTTTATTTACATACTTGAAATTCAATGGACCCTAATTATTTGCCTTTTTTTTTTTTTTTTGAGAAATAACCAAAATGAATGAGTTTATGATGTACATGTTTTGTAGACGAAGTTAACCATTCGGTCAATGTATCCAATACTTGATTGAAAGGAACTTCTGAAGATTTAATGGACAAGTAACAAGTTAAGCATGACCAACAGCTACAGTGTATGCAAAATTAAAGTTGATTCCCTGTGTGAGCTCATAATCTTATTTTTGTGTGCTTTATATAGTCCACTTAAAATCACTGTTAGTCAATCAATTTTCAGCGAAATTTTACGTCAATTACCAACTTAATTTTGTCCTAATTTGGTAACTAAAATTACGCATTTGTTTCAGTTAAACCACCATGTCTGTCACTATTAGTAAAATCAATAAAAATCTTACACGGACAACATTTTGTGCAGACAGTTAACTTTTTGCTTATGGTTTCTACAATCGATGTTAATGAGCGGAATCTTAGTGGGATGACAGCAATGGATGTTCTGATTCAAAGTCGAACAGATGTGAGGGATGAGGAAATTGAAGAATCTCTGAAACGTGCTGGGGCTTTTGGATCAATGGAAAACAACTCACAAGTACATACTAACCGAAATAGGGCGAATCGAGGCTCATCTCCATTCTCTTATCACCCTGCTTCATCCTCAAACATGCAAAAGAACAGTTTGCAGAAGAAGCCTAAACAATATGATGATTGGCTGGATAAAAAACGAAGTGCGTTAATGGTGGTTGCTTCGCTGATTGCAACAATAGCATTTCAAGTGGGAGTTAACCCTCCAAGCGGAGTATGGCAGGATTCGCAAGGTAATCCTGTATCAGCATCTGATCCTCGCCGTGCAGGATTTTCCATTTTTGCCTATTACTTTCCAAAAGAATATAATCAATTTCTGATTCTGAATACAACGGGGTTCATTGCATCACTGAGTATCATATTATTGCTCATGAGTGGTTTACCCTTGAGGCACAGAATATTTGTGTGGATTTTGATGGTGGTTACATGGATTGCAATTACAGCAATTGCAGTCACTTATGTTTATTCAGTAACAGCAATATTAGGAAGTCCAGGACTACCTTTTCTTGCTCTTGTAGTCTTTATCTGGGCTGGTCTCATGGCTTTCCTCCTCCTTGGTCACACGATTCGGTTGATAGTAAAGATTTTTAAAAAGTTAATAAAATTATTGAGGCCGAAACCAAGGATTCCGCGTTCTGGAGTTATGAGTCACGGCAGAGTTTGAAGTGTTCTTAATTAGCGTTTGATATTATAAATACTTATCGCTGTAATTCCATTCCATTTAGTCTGTATGGGATATTGCAGTTGTGTAATATGTATACTCGTGTTAATCTATTGAGGACAGGTTTGTTGCACGGTACTCAATGACATTGTAAAATACAATACATAAATTTGTGATTTTGTTCTTATTCTCTCTAATACACCGTACTAAACATGTCATTATGTACATATTTTCCTCTATTTTTTGTCTATCATGTGTTCGCATTTTGATTCCAAATAATAAATCCAATTCAATGATCATGCATCCCTGTTCAGTCCCAATAAACTGAAGTGGACAATTCTGTTTCCAATTTTCACCTGGCATGTACACTCGTAATATATTTTGACATAAAAGAGACCTTCACACACTGAAAATAATACAAGTCCCATGATATCAGTGAAATACCAAAATTCATGTCAAATTCAGTCAAACACCTTATTGGGTTACATTTTTTGTTATGTACTTCAACAAAGTCTCTGAATCTTCTAGGCCGCCACACAGTTATTCCTCGGTTCTGCGGCCACTGGTCGATCAACCTATTAGTCCAATCTCAATAACACGACTCAGTGATCTCCAGAAATTTTTTGGCGTAACCGCAACAAAATCACAATCAAACTCCACATAAATAGCCCGTGCCGAAAAGAAGCCTACGACTGCTCTGGCTTTGTGGGAATTATCTGTTTAATTTTCTAGCCATACACCACCCAAAGGGGTCACCCTGGCTGGGAAAGCCATTTTAGCAATCTGACTTGCTGCCACCATCATGGCGTCACGTTTCTTGGTTAACCATTTGACTCGAGGATTGATGGAGATGCAGGCTTTAGGCTGAAGAGAGTTCTTAAAGGACATATAATTAGTTCCCTCAAATCTTAGGAGTTGGTTCCAAAATGTCCAATGCTGTGTAGCCTTTTTCGCATTCACTTCTATGCCACTTTTAAAGATGTAAAAAAATTTAAACACAAAGGTTAATTATAACTAAAGATGTACAAAATTTTTAACTGTCCCAAGGGATTGGGGACAATTGGAATCAGACATGTGCCAGCCAATGGGGCGCACTGGGCTGGCCCAATTGTTTAATGCGTGAATAGAAAAAAATGGATCATTATGTACACTTGTATCTTACAAAAGTATCCTATGTATTTTTTAATTCCATATCACTTAAACATGGTACTTTATTTATCAATAGACTATAGAACTTCTTTTAGGATCTAGGGCTCTTCATTTTTTCCCTTAGTTTTAGTGGGGACGGGGAAGAATCTTAACACGTGAAAAAAGGATCTTCACACATGTTGTTGTTTGTAAATTGCAGGCAAGAGCAAAAATTTTGCATTGAATTGTTTAAAAGTAAGAGCATTTTCAATGCATTCAATGAATTTCAATCTAAGTGATATCTGAATAGAAAGATTTTCAATTCACGTGATATTAATGTCTAATGAATAAAAGAGTTGAACACAATGAGTCTCGTGCCACTTTCAACTCACGCACATATTTGGGGAAAAAGTTAAAAACAATAAGCATCGAGTCACTCTCTACTCAAATAAATATTTGGGTTTGGGCATTATATCTATTATCTCATCTTCAACATCATCTTTTACTTCAATCTCATCCTATCAAATAAGCATTACATTGCAAAGCAATCATGATATCAATTTTGAGCCTCATTTTAAATAAATCACTCTCTGAAAAGTTTTACTCTAATGTTTAAGGTGAGCTCATATGGTGAAGTCACCATTTTCACCAAAATCGGCAATAATATTTCAAATGGTATTTAGCATTTGCATCCTTGCGAAGGAAATGCAAGATTTTGCACATCAATTGCTAGAAAAAAAAAAAAAAAAAGGCCTTTCTTAAAACAAAACTGAGAAGGTTAGTCAAGTGAGAACTAACAAACAACATCATCGAAAAGCAAAAAAATGTCTAATATAAACGTCTAATATTACCTCCAAAATTTGGCGATGAAGAAAATGGCTTATCCTTGTAAAAAATACTGATAATGGTGCCAAGAGGGATTAACACATCTCCTTTCGATCATAGGCATAGGTTACAAATCCTTCTTCGACCCATTTAATGTTTTGATGTGCCATTGCTACCCAGTAAGTCAATTCACACACATTGTTTGCTTTTGATTTGATTTTATACCTCCAAACTAGGCAAAATAAATCCTAATTTACACATAAATGTGCTCGAGTGTTCCATTTACAAACATAAAAAACCACAGAAAATCTGGGATGAGCAAGTTCGACACTATGAAGAATGATTACCTCCTCCACTTCCTCCGTTGATTTAATAAAATTCGAAACCAATTTCTTGGCTTTTTGAAGCTTTTCTTCTAGATGATTTTTCAGCCGGAAGCCAATTTCGTGATACTTGTCAACCTTTCTTTCCTCTTCTTCGTCCTCCTCTTGCTGTCTCTTGTACGGTTCCTTCGTCTTTTCCCTTGCTTAGCTTATTCCTACTTGACATAAAGGAAGAAGATATGTTCGATTTGGTTGGTGAAACGAGGGGAAAGGAAGAAGATATATTTAATTTGAGAATGGAGATGTAACCAAAGCC